AAGGCATCTGAAGGCAGCCCTGTATCGGGAAGTTTTTAATGTTTGATATTTTGCTGTGTTTTATATATGCTGTAAGCCGCCCAGAGTGTCTGGGGAAATCCATCCAGAGGGGCAAGGTATAAAAAAATAAAATTATTATTGTTATTTTTTATTGCATGGTACAGTATTCTATTTTGTCAAATTCTGATGTTCAGATCCCAACATGTTTGCAGGAGTTTTTGTGTCTGTTGGACTGGGGTATATTTCCTCCCTGTTATACTGAGTCCAGCTGCTGGTCCATCTAACTCAATATTGTACACTGACCCATGGGGACACTCCAAAATTTCAAATGGTACATTCTCAGTCCTGTCTGGAGATGCCAGGGACTGAACCTGGGACTTTCCTCTCTCTTCAATCCACACAAAAAAACACTGGATCCAAAAATGACCCGCAACTAGAATTGAAGCTCTGGGGCTGGCAGGATTCTGGAGGACATGTGGGAAAATGGTGGCTGCTGCTGCTGTGCTACCCCACACACCAGCTATTAGGCGGGGAGGCTGGGCAGTCTAAACAAAGCCCCACTGCATCTCCAGTCTCTTCAGAGCTTCCTCAGCCCTCACTGACATCCTCTTTGGGCTCTAGGGAGGGTCTCCTCGCAAGCCACGAGGACTCTCCAGCTCTCTCCCATCATTTCCAGGTTTGAATTGGATTATTTAATTATTTTCTGCATACATGTGGTTGCATGCAAGTCAATTGCACATAAGTGACGGGGACGCCTGTATTCAAATGCATCCTGCCTCCAGTCGTTGGAGGGAGAAATTAGCCATCATGGCTGGTAGCCACTAAGAGCCTTATCTCCATGGCAGAGATCAGCTGAGGGTTCTCTGCTATCCCAAAACTCTGATCAAGGAAGAAATATTCTCCTCCTCCCCTTCCCAACTTTATACAATTCTCATCCTCTGGAAATAATTGGGATAGGCATTGAGATAGAGATGCATCCATTATGGGCAAATGTCTATAGATTCAGATGCTGTGTTGAAAATATTCTGGCTTTGGATTAATGTTTTCTAGGTACAGATGGTACAAAATCATTTTATCCTGGAGGTTTTTTTCTTTTCTTGGTATGCATGATATACCGTACTTTTTCGTGTATAAGCCGAGGTTTATTTATTAAGAAATTATGCTAAAAATTGGAGGTCATCTTATACATAGATACTGCATAGGGGGACATGGGATTGGTTGCTGCCGCGATGTGAAGATTGTCATCGGCTATTTGGCGTGTTATTGGTGGCTGCGGCAAGGGCTGTTGTTGATTGGCTGTCACTGCGGCACTAGGGTGGACGATTGGCACGGGGACATACGATGGGTGGCTTTTGCGACGTGTGTGGTTGAGCGACTTTCGTCAATTCCCCCCCCCCAAAAAAAAGCTCAACAAGACTTGGCAATCCTCCCTCCCAAAAGCTGAACAACTGAGGGCAATCTCCCCCCATTTTCTTAATTTTGCATCCCCCCAAAATATTGTACACGGAGGCATGTTATACACGGAAAAATATGGTATATTTAAGGACAGTATGGGCTGTAGGTGGAGGAAGTCCGGAATGAAACTGGATGACATAATCGGAAGGAAAGGAGGATGGAAAAGGAAGTGAAAATACAGAGAAAATTGTGTGGGGTGAGGAACAGAGAGTTTGGGTGAGCTGGACGAGTCCCAAACAGCTTGTGGTCCTACAGTAGGGGTGTGGGGGAACCTTTTTCAGGCTGAAGGTTCCGGCTGCATTCCATTCTAAAGTGCAGGGGGGGAAGTGGGCAGAACAATAGGTGTGGGTGGCTCTTATTTGTTACACAATAGGGTACATTCCAGCCAAGCAGAAGTCAGAGGATTCTCCTCCTCCACCCACCCACCCTCTTCATCCTCTGTGACATGATCACAGTTCCAAGCCAGGAGGGGGGGGCTGGGTACACTTGCTCCAGGCCTCAGAGGGCTAAGCTGACTGGGGGACCCTGCCAGTGGCTGGCTGAAGTTACACTGTCATGCCAAGAACAAGACTTGACCCCCGGGCCTCAGACAAACTCTGCATGAGCCTGGTTCCAAGGACACAGGCAAAAGCAATGGAAGAGAGTACAGAGCAGGGTTGATGAAGGATATGGTTTGGGGAGAGGAGGTGTGGCCTGGGGAGTGGGAGTGTCCTTTGAGGGAATCTCAAGAGCCAAGCAGAGAAGCTTGGAGGGCCATATTTGCATACCCTGCGAGTGCCCCGGTAAAACCGGGACATCCCGTTTGTTCACGTGAGAGCATGGTGGCAATTTTGGGCTGCGATCTCGTGCCACAATCTCCCCCCCCCCCAAAAAAAGCGCTTTTTCCAGAGCCACGATCTTGTGTGGTGCCCCAAAATGCAGATTTTTGCATGCTGTGCTCTCATGTGAGAGCCGCTCCTCCAGTGCATATTTTGGGCTCTGTGATCTCATGGGAGCACAGCCACAATGATACGCGTCCCGATTTTGAGATTCAGTGTGTTGGAGGGTGTGCATTTGCCTCCACCCTAATTAGGGGTGCTCACAACCCTGAAGTCAGACCCCACAGCTTTGCATGAGCAAGGGACATTCTGCAATGTTGCAAAGGTCCATACGATGCTGCCTTATGTGAAGTGACAGCATTGTTCCATCTTGTGCGCCGCTGTATCTCATGGGACTGGAAGAGTTTCTCCATCAGGCCTGTGCTTTGGGCTGGGAGGACGCCTCACTAGGAGGTCCACAAGTGTTGCTCCCACTTTGCCATAAAAGGAGTAGTTAGAAGCAGAATAAATCACCCTAAGCGGAAGGGTTTGCAATTGTTTTCAATATAAAGGCAGATGGTGATGCGTTAAACTGAAAACATGTCATACTTTCTTTTGGTTTTGCTGATAAGAATCAACGTTACAGAGGAAGTCGCTATCAAGTGGAAGAACTCCAGCATTTGTGCAGTTATAAACAGGGGGCAGACTCTAAGGACAAGGGCTCAATAAAGAAAGTAAAACACAAAATGAATGGTATTCATAATGCATTTTATAATCCCTGCAAATTTCCCCCACTAAATTCCTTCCTGTGGGACTCAGTGCTCCCATCTAATCTACTCAGCTGCTGATATGGAGTAAACTCCCTCCTGTCCTAATCTTGCCTCCAAGCTTTCTTCTCATCCCAGTCCTTAATTCAGGGCTGGAAAAGGTTTTCCAGCCCGAACTCCACATTCCCCTCTAGACTTCCTTCCAGGAACCACATGGCACTGGTACCTTAGCTTGGTGGCTCCTTACCTTTATACTGCAGGTTAGTTTCTACATACCCCTCTTCACCCAGGAAAGCACAAGCCATCATCAAGCAAACAGTCCAGCCAGGCAAAAAGAGGGGCGTGGTAGCGTCAAAAGAAGGGGGTGTGGCCTACAAAGGGGGTGTGGCCTTGGCAGTCTCAAGGGCCAGATATAGATGCCTGAAGTTCCACATGCCCAAGTCATTTGCTGACCTTGGAGCTACCTTTGGTAACTAGGAGGCTGGTCTATTAAGCATAAGAAGAGCTTGCTGGATCAGGCCAATGGCCCATCTAGTCCAGCATCCTTTTCTCACAGTGACAAACCTATGAGGAGTCCACAAGCAGGGCCTTAGCTCAAGAGCACTCTCCCCTTCTGAGGTTTACAGCCACTGGTATTGCTGCCTCTGAACTTGGAGGAAGGGCATAGCTATCATAGCTAGGAGCCGTTTGATAGCCTTATCCTTCATAAAATTGTCAAATCCTCTTTTAAAGCCATCTAAGTTGATGGCCACCACTGCCTCCTATGGGAGTGAGTACACTTTTTCATAAAAGCACCCCATCAACACTGTTTAGAAAACCATGGTTTAGTGTTAATGTGCAAACCAGACCAGCAATTCCTTTAACAAGTGTGTACTTTTTCATTCCTGTCTTCTTAATTCATCCAGACCTTTTAACCTCTTAACTCTGAGCCTGTCTTTGCCATCCATTTATATTTCAGAATAGAGATACCTTCCAAGAAACGTGGGCCCATTTCTTTAAGCATGTTAATTACCAAAAGCAAGACCTTGTCATGCCAATATTCTCAGAGCAGAGGTTACATTAAATAATATGTTTGAACATTCGTTTTGCAAGTTTATGTCTATAGTCAATGAACAAGAACAACAGCAACAACAATTTTATTATTTATACCCCACATATCTGGCTAGGTTTCCCCAGCCACTCTGGGTGGCTTATTGCAAATAGAAAATTGTAAAAAAAAAGACACTAAATTTTTTCTGATACAGGGCTGCCTTCAGGTGTCTTCTAAAAGTCAGATTGTTGTTTATTTGTTTATATCCTTGACATCTGATAGGAGGGCGTTCCACAGGGCGGGCGCCACTACCATAAAGGCCCTCTGCCTGGTTCCCTGTAACCTCACTTCCTGCAGTGAGGGAACCACCAGAAGGCCCTTGGAGCTGGACCTCAGTGTCTGAGTTCAACAATGGGAGTGGAGATGCTCCTTCAGATATACTGGGTGGAGGCTGTTTAGGGCTTTAAAGGTCAGCGCCAACACTTTGAATTGTTCTCAGAAATGTACTGGGAGCCAATGTAGGTCTTTCAGGACCGGTGTTATATGGTCTTGGCAGCCACTCCCAGTCACCAGTCTAGCTAAAACAAACACCATTAGATGTATTGCTGGATAAGTGTTTAATGGTTCTTGTATCTGAATTTGTTTAGAAACCAATAAAAATTGTTAAAACGAAAACAAACAAAAAACTCCGAGACTTGCTACTGCCTATTTTGATGCTTTGACTTTTTTCCTTCCTGCTTAAACTGTTGTTTTGGTTTTTCCAGTACCATTCCTTGTTCAATTTTAAACCACTTTAGGCATTTATAAAATTGAAAGGCAGGGTGTAAATAAAGCTAAGTGATGGCCCTACATCTGTAATCTGTTAGTGGTTCCATAACAAGGTACTTTGGTTCACTTGGACGACCCTCTTTTTTTATTCCACCTCGCATTTGTGAAAGACGACACACTACATGGGATTAAACTTTTATTTATTTACTTAAAGAAAATACAAAACACCATATAGCAAACCCAGAAAATACCCATTCTATGGATAAGGATAAAAAACTACTGTACACCTTGAGCTTGGCTAAATGACCTGGTTTTTGGTCTTGAGCGTTTAGTGCAAATTTCAACATACGTAATGCTTTCCCACTTCTCTCCCATACTTGAAATGGTAATTCCTATGTGCTAACAGATACCAGCAGGTGCGGGTTGCAGAAGTGGAGAGTCTGTAGCCAGCAGTTTACTTGGAGCCCCCCTGCCTAATTTCTTGCTTGAGGGGGGCAAAAGCCTGGAAGGAAAGACAGAGCAGGGGGAGGAGGAAGGCAAAATGGAAGGAGGGAGGGGAAGACCACCACAAGCAAGCAGTTCAGACCTCTGACAAGAGCGATCTGCCCTTCTGCTTGCAGGCCAGTGGGCAGGGAGAGAAGGAGGGAGGTGAGAGGCTCTGCCCCCCTCCCACTGACATGTGGCCCCTATCAGATTACCCTGAAGGGAATGTGGCTCTTGGCAGAATGTGGCCCTGGTCTACCCTGGTTTACAGGGTCTAAGCGACCTCGTGAGATTTGAATCTTGGTGGACACCAACAGATTCAACACTTGCCTACTTTGACAAATAAAGGAAGATCAAGCAAACAACTTTAGGAGGAGTCCCATCCAAGGATGCTTGATTATATGTCCCCGGTGAGCCTTTGACCTTGGCCTCAGGTCAATATACAATTGCCTTGGCACTGCTCCAGCTCTGCTTCCAACCAACTTGGCTTGAATGGCTCAGGAAGGAGCTGCTCTCTGTTCCCCTAGCAGTGGGATTTGGTGAGAAGGCCTGCCTCCCACATTGAAGTGGCCTGAGTTCATATTCCTGCAGGATAAGGCCTCTCTCACTACCCTTGGGCAATGTGTTTGCTACATCCTGCTGCCCAAGAGCAGCTAATGTCACAGGTCCCGCTCTTGTGGGGGAAGCTCACACCACCTGCCTTGCCTTAGAACATAGAAGTCAACTAATAACATATTTGAGGGGGCCAGCCTCTTCCCCCCCAGTTTATGGGCATTGCCATTCATCTGATGTGTGTGCACTGCATCTTGTGACTGAACATGCAGGATGGGGCTGACTTGCTCCCCCTCTTTTATTCAATGGCCTTGGTTAAAACCCTGCCGTGAAAGAAGCATTCTTAGACAAAGTCACAGGCACGTTAAAGAACTTCCATGGCCAAGGAGTCAGACTGAGAGTCAGAGGAAGTGAAGAGCAAGCCTTGGACCAGTTCCTTAGGTGGTGTTCTGGGCCTAGCGCATGCCCACACAACAGCGACAATGGTGAGACACACAAAAGTCCCCACGGAAGCCAAGAAGATGATGTGACTTCTGGGTCCAGCCAAAGCACTGGGAGAGAAGGCAACCTCGGGAGTGCTTGTGGTTGGCTTTGCTCTGCTTTTCCCGGTTGCGTTGTCCTGGTGAAAGCCTGACGTTGACAAAGTACCTGCTGATTTGGTAGACGTGTGCGTGTTTGCTTCAGCAGTTGGGAGCCCCACAGTTGACTGCCTTCCGGTACCTGTGCTGGAGCTGCTCAGAACTGGAGTCAGTTCAGAGGAAGCTGGGGGAGCGGCAGATGCTGTGGTCGGCTTTGTGCCTTTTGCCGTGGAATCTGCGATAATAAAATTGCTTATGGGGGAGCTGGATGGAGATGCCACCAAATCATGAGTTGATCCAGGGAACTCTTCCAGGCCTTTCCCAACAGTTGTGAGACTTCCCTCATATCTCTTTGGTCCAACAGAGGTTTGGGAAACCGTAGTGCCACTTGCAAGGGTTTGGGGATGAAGGGTCGTTCCGGTCACCATCACTGCTGGTTTGGGAGTGTACGTAGCTGTGCTAAATGTGACAGTGGTGTCAGGTGGAGCCCCAGGGTGAGCTGATATGGAGACAGTATCTCCCACTTGTTTGTCAAACCCAGCTGTCACTTCTGTAGGAGCGTTCATTGCATCCAGCTGCCTCATGGCCTCCTGTACCCAGACATCCTCTGGTCTTGCACAGAATTTCCGATTCATCTTAGTGATCAGTCTGGACAGAGAAGGGAAACAACAGTTAAAAGGGACACGATCCAGCTCAGTTTTAAAACTCAGTGACCATCAACAGGACAGATTTAAGCACATCCTTTAGCACTGCTTAGTTAAGATATTCTTAAATATCTTTCCACATCCATTTCCATTTAACAAAAAAAGGGCTTGCAAATATTCATCAACATTGTGTTGCAGAGTAGCAGAAATAAACCAAAGAGTTGCAGTGAAGCTTGGCACCCTGTCACCTCTGCACCCTAAGAAGCCACCGTCCTCCCTGCTTCACTGTTCCCTCTCCTTCCCTCTCTTCCCTCTGTAGTCTCAGCTTGTGTCGTGCTTTATATTATATACTGTATGAGGTGGAGCCCTGTCTTCTCATTGCTAATGTCTGCACACCATGCAAATTGATAGCACTATATATAATATACTCATAGTAATAAATGAAGTTACACACTCACCCTATAGAAGTCAGGAAGGGAAGGGTCAGGCAAAAGACAGCATCACTACAGCCATTGCTTTTTGCCATAATAACAACATCAATGTATTTTAAGCCTGTTCCCACCCTTTTTTGTTCCTGAAATCAGTTTAATCATTTATGACCTCCTTAAAGAGCTTCGGATAGGTAGAAAGAAAACTGGAAGACACACGTCTCCTGTGACAACTGCATTTAACTTCCATCTCTTCTGGTGAGAAGAAAACTGGGTTGTATAATAACTGGCATAGCATTAATGGCACAAGGCACTTACATTACCGAAGTCTTCATCCCACATGTCATTTTCGTATAATTTTGCAGTTTGGTCTGGTGAATCGGTCCGGATAAGTGTTGCCTGCATTCGTATGCACAGCCTTTTCCTACTTCCGGTTGTCCTGCAGCAAGAAAACAGCACATCGATCACTGCGTGTTTATTTGTATGCCATTTTCCCAGAAAACTGTGCCCCAAAAGGCTCACAACATATCAAACGAACAATAAGCATTACTGTTCAAAAACGTTAGAACGGATTGTAAGTCACAATGTCAATAAATAGAAAAAAGGCATCAGTCCATACAACGTTGTGCAAAACAATACAAATGAGCAAACCTAATTTAACAGCATAGACTAAAGAACACTGTATGCAAATAAGCTAGCCTAATAAAATGCCTGATACTAAATAGAAGAGAAAACAAACAAATACAAAATAGAACATAGGGAAAGCCCTGCTGGATCAAGTCAAAACAGGCCAATCTATTCCAGCATCCTGTTGTCACAGCGGCCAGATAAAACCTATGGGAAGCCCAAAATCAGGACCTGATTGCAACAACACTCTCCTGACTAGTAGCATGCCAAACTTTGAGTCTGATTGAGTATGTGTAGTTATTGCCATTAAGCCCAGGGACTTAGCTGTGGCAAGGCAGGAAATGACAGCTGGGACCTGGCATGCACCCCCTCTCTCCATGGCCTTGCCTTGTCCCAGATAAATCACTTGGTCTTTGGGGAACAGAGGGAGGCAGCAGTGAGCACCTTCTGAGACTTTTGCAAACATCTGCACTGATTTGAATTGCTACCAAGCAGCCACTGGGCTATATCTGAGATGCTGGTACTGGTAATCTATACAGCTTGGGATCACAATACCTAAAATATCATCTTGCTGTGCATTTACCTAACAAATCGCTGCACTCATATCAGGGACCATAACCAAGAGCAGTTCATCAAGGGGTCCATTCTGTATGGTGTCAGAATCAGGCCTTTACGCTGTGGAACAGACTCCCGTTACATATCAGCCACTTGCTGTCTCTATTGTCGTTCTAACCCCTATTGAAGATCTTCCCTTTACAACAAGCCTTTTAAATAAAGATTTTATCCCACTCTGAATCAGTAATGGAAGTGTTTTTATGTACATTTTTATTGTTGATGCTTTCATTGTTAAATTGCTTTTGGATGCTTTATATATTATATTTATACCCCCCCACACACACACACCTTTCCTGCAAATAACTCAAGGTGGTGTACCTGGCTCTCACCCTCCTCATTTTATTCTTACAACAACCCTGTGAGGTAGGTTAGGCTCAGATGCAGCAACTAGTCACCCAGTGCATTTCATGGCTAAACCCTGGCCTCCCAGGTCCTGGTCAGACACTCTAACCACTATGCAACACTGGCTGTCATGGAATTTATGAATGAAATGAATGAATGAATGAATGTTTTCAAAGGCTCCACTGCTTTCAGGGCAGGATGCTCACACATCTATGTGGTCTATTGCTTAAAGTTCTAGCATGCTTAATGTAGTAGTAAACTATGGCCTGATCAAACTAGGAGGTGAAGGAGGAAATCAATGTGGATGGCAAGAGAACATTTTTACACTTGCTTTTATTGTTTTAGCTCATTTTTAGTTCCACTGCATTGAGTCTCTTGTACACTGCTTAGAGGCAACTGTTATTAAGTGTTATACAAATTGTCAGAACGATAAATAAAGTTTAGGAAGCACACAAGCCCAAGGCTTCAGATGGCAAAACTATACTTTGCCAATGACACATTTCCAATTTCAAACCAGAGAACGATTATATAAAATCGTTTCCATATTCAAAACAGCTGCAGGTTGCACAACTCTCTTGAATTCTTGTGGCAGAAAATGTGCCTTGAATTCTGGTTGCATTAGGAAAAGGGATCATGTGAGAAAGATTTGCCAGCATAGACTGTGATTGCCCAACTCTTTCCTCTTTGATGAGCAATCTCATTATTTTATTTCTGAAACCGAGCAGCTGTGCCTGTTAACACCACTGAGCCAACCCAAATGTCAGGCTAACAAAAGAAATGGCCGTGACTTCCGAGATACACATCAGCAGCTAACCTTGCAGGGGACCCTTGTGCCCCTATGGAGCAGAAGCAGGAAACTGTGCATGCTAGTTCGGTGATATTTAGAGGCACCTGGCTGAGGTCTGCCCTGTTCACGGACTCTCTGTGAGAGTAGAGCAGGCATCGTGTTCTCATAATGTGGGAAGGAGTTTCAAAGTGCCCTCATAGTGTAGGGTTACCAGACGTCCCCGTTTCCCAGGGACAGTCCCTGGATTTGTGAATAAGTCCCCAGACAAATTCCATCCCTGGAATGTCCCCAGATTTCATCTAATGTCCCCGGGAAACGCAGGGGCGGCAGTCTCAGCAGCCCGGAGCAGTTGGCTCTGGCTGGCAACAGGAGCTGCTCAGAAGTCCCCATATGATGGTGGTGCAGGGGCTTGAAGATGCAGCTTCCGGGCTGCCTCCACCTTCCCTGACCCCAGCAACTAAGCTGTGAAGGGAGGCTTCATGCTGCCTGCATGCAAGCAGGAGGGGGCAGGGATCTCTCAGGCAGCACAATGCCTTCCTTCCCATCGGAGCAGCCTCCCAACTCCTACTTGTGTGCAAGCAGGAGTGGGGCAGCGATCTCTCAGCTTTGAAGGGAGGCTTCACGCTGCCTATCAGAGCTTGCGTGCAAGCAGGAGGGGGCAGGGATCCCTCAGTTAGGCAACGGGAAGCCTCCCTTCCCAGCTGAGGGATCCCCACCCCCTCCTGCTTGCACGAAAGTAGGAATGGGATTGGGGCTGCTCCGATGGGAAGGAAGGCATTGCGCTGCCCGAGCCTCGCCGCCTCCACTCTCGGCCCTCCTTCTCTGCCTTCCATGCCTGACCCACTGCGCACTGCTTCCCCACCGCCACCACTGAAGAACCAACAACTCAGGGGCTGCCCAGATTCATGGAGAAAGGAGATAGAAGCCTCAAAGGAAGGGGAAATGTGGCGGTTGAGGTCAAGGCGGCGGCCGCCCCTCTGCCACTGCCATCGCTGCAGCATCAACATCACAAACGTGTAGTATTTATTTATTTATTTATTTATTTGAAGTGTCCCCGGATTCATTGAAAAAAATCTGGTAACCTCATCATACTGCTCAATTCAACCTTTTCCTCTCTCAGGGCAAACTGGGAGGAAATGATTCTGCAGATTTGCAGGTGATTTATTGCATCACATAAAGAGCTGGAAGGGAGCTTAGAGACAGAGCCAGCCTTATGATTAGGCAAACTGAGGCAGCTGCCTCAGGTGGAGGTGGAAGCGTGAGACAGCAAATCCTGCCCCTGTGCCTGCCTGCTGCCACACCATGCTGCCCGCTGCTGCAGAAACAAGAAGCAGAAGGCAGGGGACTCTGAGCTCCTGCCGCTGCTTCTCCACTGTCTCTGGCAGTGGGGACGGGAGACACTCAGGGTGGTGCTGGAGTACCACAGTGTCTCAAGGCAGTGTCTATAATGCAGCCCCCCTCCAGCCTCTTCTTAACCTTCTTCCAATTTTGTGGGTACTCAAGTGTCCCCTCAGCACCCTTATCATTGTGCAATTCACATAGAAACAAACCTACCAGGAAGTCATTCTAGGACATTGTCACAAGTTGTCACCCATACAAGGTCCCCACATTTTAGCTACCTATCACTTTCAGTTTTTCTTCTGGAAACAAATAAACAAACAAAACACCACCTGAGGCATAAAATGTCCCTGAAATGCATCCAATTTTGCCATTAGGGTGTTTTCATTACCCCAAAACAATGTTAACATGTTTTCATAGTAAAATCTTCAAGGACAGGTCCTCAAAGAGCACTGAGGTCAAACAAGCTTGACAAAGGAATAAACTAACTTTGCAGTCACATCTCCAAGGACCCATTGTTGCCTAGGACACACCTTTGGTGAAACAGTTTTCACCCATTTTACAGAAAGCAAGGCAGCTTATGGCTGCAGAGTGTCAACAGGTTGGCACACACAGGGAGATAAAAGGTAAGATTGCCCAGCACAGACACATTTTCAATGGAATCCTGAGGCAAGAACAGCCACCCCTAATCCGCTTCAAGAATTAGTAGTACAGATCTAAGAGCTGGCACTCACTGTGAGATCAGGGTTGCCAGTTTTTCAACCATGTCCTGGATTGCAGCTGACAGCAGCTTGGTTTTTAGCCATTGATTAGCAACATTTATCCTGCTGCACCTCCTGCACCTTAAGCCACCATAAAACGGGGTTAGTTGGAGAAATTGCATCCCTCTGTGACTAGGAGAGTGGATTCATGCACCCCAGGTTATGATGTCCTCTGGAGGGGCAGCATTCCTGTTGAGATACAGCAGTCAACTGATATCTGTATTCTCCAGAAACAATTGAAGGTATTTTTTGTTTCGACAGACTTCTCCAGCTGGATGAAGACGAATCTGCCTTAGGTGTTCATTCTGTGCTGTTTTTAAATATATACTCGGCTGTTTTCCTACTGCTTACAATATTCTCTTAGCTGTTTTTAAGAATGTGGCTGCAAATCACCTTGGGAAAGAGCTACACAAAGTGATTCACAGATTATGAAATAATAACTGCAATAAGCTGAACATGTTCATCTGGAACAGTGCAGGTATTGTCGCAAGGCAGAGGTTGAAAGGAAGAGCAGGACTGTTTGCTGTCTGGAGGCTGGGGGTGCTTTATCAGGGTCTTCGTCTGTAGCTCCTGGACTGGCCAGGTAGGACTGAGCTTCTGGGTTATCGATTAATCTGGAACATACACCTCTCAGAAAGAGCTTCAGCTACTTGGGAAATATTCACCTATGGCTCTGGAGAATTGCACAAGGGGAGATAGGCAAGAACAGCCAAGATTGCCCCACCTTGATCTTGGGAGATACTGTATTGCTTTAACCTAAATGCAAACTGGGTGTAGGATGCTAATTTCCCCACAACACAAAGTACCTGCAGTGGGATTTTGAATAGCTGGAGGCACGAATATTCTGCAGATTCACCCTTGTGGAATCTGGCCTCTGCCTTCAAGGGATTTACTCAGCAATCAGTGATCCCAGCTAGATTTGGCTTTTGCACAACAGTTGTTTAGGGCCCCATTCAAGGACGACTGTGT